TCTGTGGCAAGCGCTACAAGAACCGGCCGGGACTCAGCTATCACTACGCTCACACTCACCTGGCCAGCGAAGAGGGGGATGAAGCCCAAGACCAAGAGACCCGGTCCCCACCCAACCACAGAAATGAGAACCACAGACGTGAGTTCCCCATTATTGGACAGGACGGTGATGAGGTGGGGTGGGGGTGGGGAGGAGGCTATGGACCATTCCTTCTGTACACTTCTGGCATCTTCTGATGGCCTCTGTTGATTCGTCTCAATTTCCTGGGGTGACTTGGCCTTTTTTAAGCCAGCCCCAGCTGCTCCATGGAACCTGGCAGAGTTCAAAGGAACTGGGAAGGGGTGGCACACCCAGCTCCGCACCCAGAAATAGGAGGTAGGGTAACAGTGGAGGGAAACATCTTTCCCTGGCCTGTGTCAAATACAGGACCTTCTACTCTTTCCCTCAGCTCTGTAAGAACCATTCACAGCTGCTTACCTGAACTGAACACAGTTTTTGGTGAATCAGTTTGGACAGACATTCCTGGTATCTTCTTGCTCGTCCAGACATGTCAGATATTTTTTGGTTGATTGTTTAGGCTTTGGGTGCAGGACACCCTCCTACCCTGCTTAGAAACATTGCCTTGGGACTGCCTTATCATCCTGTTGAGCACTCCAATCACCAACACTATGTGGGTGGAGGGACTTGCCACGTGGGATAATGGAGTCTCAAGACCCCAAGTGATTCTGAAAATTGGGGACTCAATTTTCATTCTTTCCTTTCTCCACATATAAATGATCGGGTCAAAAAGGACTTAATACTCACCCCCTTGATTTTCCTCTTTAACATTGGTTTCTGGGAATGGCACTCAGGCTGCCAGTGCTGGGTGGGGGTGGGGCAGGGTGGGGGCAGGGCATCAGGGTCATGACAGTGTTCAGTATAGGGGACTTATGATGTGAGGGATCAAACTCAGAGTCTTGAATGTGTAGGGCTTATATTGTGCCACCTGAACTGTCTTCCCAACCATTCATGTTTCCTCTTGACTCACTTCCTTTAAAACCTTGGCTCCAAATGTTGTCGTATTCTTTTAGGTTACTGGGATTAGGAATTTAATGTAAAAACTTTAGGGAGCAGAGAGACAAATGTAGTCCATAATGCCTGCTCTCATTTCTACTCACTTTCAGGTTCCAGCCGTTTGCTTGACAACCATTATTTTCTCATAAGGGCTTGAACCCTGGAAATGAGTAAGAATGAAAGCATCAATGGATTGTTTCTTCTTGTCATCTGGACAGAATCTGTAAAGCAGGCCAGGAGGGTCTGACAGAGCTATGCCCCCTAGCCCCTCTTATAGCCACCCCCACCACCAGCTCCAGTTCCTATAACGCTGGGGTCTCTGACTTGTCTTTGCAGATGGCTTCCTTGCTCCTTTCATCCTGTCTTTCAGAAAGGAGACTGTTGACCTGTACAGACACTCTTGGGATTTGTGATCCCCAGCCTTCCTCTTATCCCTTGTCTGATCTCAGTGGTCAAGGATAGCTATTGTCTCTTACCTCTGGGAGGCCTGGAAGGATCTCCTTTGATTTGGGTTGCAATCTGGAAGGTATTTATTAGTGATGGTTGCCCTCTAAAGTATTTATTAGCTGGTTTTTGTTGCTCACTCTCACCATCCCCTCTGCTCTGCTGGCTTATCTCCTTTACATATCTTTGCAAATGTCAGGCCAGTGTAATGCTTCACTCATGCTGGAGGGCGTGGACGCTTGGCTTTTGCCCATCTCTTTTGTGTGCACACTGTGTGGTGATGGGCAAAGGCCTGGGCTGCTTCCAGGCCCCCTCCCCCATCCTTCAGGCACGCTGCAGACCCTGAGTAGAATAAGTCTCTTCCTTAGCTGTTCCTGTGGATCCCTCTGGGGGTTTGGGGGTTTCCAAGGTGGGGTGTTGACTTCTGTCTCTGTCCAGCAGAATCTCGTCCCATGCTCTCATGGATCTGTCTCTGCTTCTGGTGAGCCACTGTCTTTCTTCCTTCTAGGTGGCAAGCACCCCAAGGAGTCCCATTGGCTGCTTGTTCTCCTCTCTTTAGGGGCTGTCAGCTAGCACCATCATCCTAACCCCATGTCCAACCCACTTCTCACCCTGCTCATGGGAAATTGGCTCCATCAAAAAGGACCTTTGGATCACCCTACGGATTCGAAACCTCGAAAAACATCTTTGTCTAAGGGTATTTTGGGGCACCAAGGAAGGTTCCAGAAATTTTGCAAACATCTTTTCAGTGACCTCTCTTCTGATCAACCCCAAGTTTACCAGCCAAGAGGATGTAGCAGAAGGATGCTTTGCATCCACAGAGCCTTTCCTGCCTTCCCCACCCCCGTTTTTTTTTTTTTTTTTTTTTTTTAAAAAAACAAATCCAGGGCAGTGATTCTGCCCAGGTTCTTTGCTGCAAACAAGCCCCTGAAGTGTTGACTGCTTCGAGTGTTTCCTCCTGCACCCCCTCATGAGTAGCCCCCCAACCATTTCTCATGAGCACTAATTGCCAGCATCATTAATACCCGGTCATTAGCTGCTCGCACTGTTTGGGGTGTGCGCCGGCTCCCATTCATTCTGCCCCTAAGTGCCACTGGGGCTGAGTGGCGAGTCGAACGAATGCCCTGCCGCATCGCATCCAGAGGCCTTGATTTGATTGATCCTCCCTGGGCCAGGTCTGGGGAGGGAGAAGGAGGCAGGAATCACCTTACCCACAAGCAGAAAAGCTCTGTACCCCAGAGAAGTGGGAATGCTGCCATTTTCTTGTTGAGTAGAGCTGTAGGGGCAGCCCCCTTGCTTGTGAGCACGAGCCTAGTGGAGGACAGCTCCACAGACCAGGGGATTTCAGGGCCGGGTGGGTTTGAACCCCCTGCAGCCACTGGGAGAGACATTTTCACACTGTTCCTCCCGCTGTCCCTTGCTGCAGCCCCAGCCGCGTCTCCAGCCAAGCCCATCACTCATCCCCTGCCCACTGCTGCTAAAAGGGCAGAGAGTGCCGGAGTGCCAGACCCCGCATGGCCTCTGCTGCCCCAAGCTTCCCCTGCATGCTGCCAGCTCAGCACTCCGCAGTCCTCCTGCCCCTCCCGTCTGGAGTTCCTCTCCCTTTGTTCCCCTCCCTGCCTCCTTCCCTTAGGGCCTTGTCACTTAGCCCCAACCACTGGCAGCCCCGATGGTGGGCACGCAGACATTTGGCATAGGAGAGACTTTTTGGAGGAGTCAGGGGGTGGGGGTTTCTGTTCCCGAGTTTTAGTCCTGCTCCCTCTGTGTGAGGCTAAAGTCTTTTCTCCTTCATCTGCTTTCTGTAAATCTCAGTGCATGTGTGCATTCAGGGACACACATCTTGCACACAGTTTATGTATAAAATAAAAGCAGGAGGGCCGGGCAGGTTAGGTTTCTGACAAGTGCCACTCAAGTGGCTGTTGTGACTTTTTGTGGACACCCAGTTAACACCCTCTGGGGTGGAAAGAACCCTGGCTTAGGATTTGAAATGCCTTAGATACAGGCTCACAATATCAAGACTTTTTCCCAGATTTCTTATTATCTTTTTTTTTATGCAATGCATATCTTTTATAGAAGATGCCTTCAAGGTAATTTTAGAGGAGATAGAGTGAGGTGGACATTTATGAGAGCTTGAACCTGGATGGAAATGCTGTGTAAATAAATTCAGTATAATCTCTTCATCCATTCATTCATCCATCCACTAATCCATCCATCTGCTGATTTGTCTGTCCATTCATCCATCCCTCCCTCTATCCTTCCCTCTCTCTTTCCCTCCCTCCTTCCCTCTACCTCCCTTTCTCACTTCTTCCCTCCTTCCCTTCCTCCCTCCTCCCTTCCCCATCCATCCATCCATCCATCCATCCATCCATCCATCCATCTATCCCTCCATCCTTTCATCTCTCCACTAGTCCATTCACCTATTTAATTAGTAACCAAGTATTGCCTATGTATTGACCCTGTGTTTGAGGAGCTGACATTCTAATGTGACTGTGTGATATGGTCATGAGGGTACATACAGATGGCAGGGGAGCAAAGGACTCCAGGTACAGTGCATGTTCTGCTCCTCAGCACAGCTGTTCTAAGTGTGACATCCCAATTACCTGGGAGTTTCCTGGAACTGCAGATGCCTGCCTTCATCAGAGGGACTGAAATAGAGACAATTGGTTAGGTCCATAAATCAATGATTTAAAATGTCTTCCAGGGCATTCTGGTGTACAGGAAAGCCAAAGAACCTCTGCATAAGGGGATTTGCAGAGGCTTCATGGAGGAAGTGATATTCAAGCTAGTTTTTGTACACCACAGAGGAGTTTTCCATGAGGGAGAGGGCTTCCTGGGCAGAATGAATGCATATCTGCACAAGATAAGGAAGTCTAGGAAATGATCTGCCTGGTAACTTCAGATAATAGGTAGTAATTGGGTCTAAGTCAAGGTCAGATTTTAGAATCCTGGTAAAGGAAGGGTAAAACACAGAGGTTTAGGGATCTAGGAAATCCCCTAGTGAATTATTAGTGACTTTTGGGGGTGTGGAAAAATTATGGAAATGTAGGCAGGGACCACAGTTGCAAGTATCTTCTATGCCCAACTGTGAAGGTGTTTTTCTGTAGGACTGGAGAGCCACAGTAACAATGACTAGGTTAGAATACTCAGCTCTTTAATACATGGGGCACTTTTTATATTGCCTCCCTCTTTTATCTAATAGCATAAAGGAGTATGATATGAAATGCTTGATCACATACCGGGAACTGTTTACAGGGAAATATCCTAGATCTGAGTGTATATCATCATTTCAAGCTAATTTCTCAGCCCCAGGGAGAAGAAGTAGGATTGGGCCAGGTAGTGGGTCAGTCTTCTGTGGCACAGTGCTGTGCCAGCCACTGAGAGTCCCAATTCTGCTGAAAGAAGGAAGGGCCCCTGCACCAGGCCCCTTTGGAGGGCATGCTGTACCCTGCAGATTTGAAAGAGCTCAGTTGATTAAGGGTGATGGCAGCTGATTAGATAATCTGAAAATTAGCCTGATAATGTGCAAATTATCCAAAAGAAGCAGATGATGTCATTGCCCCACTGATGGGAAAAATCTAACAGATGTTATTAGTCTCCTGACATCTCTGTCCTCTGCTGTTCGGCGGGGCAGTGAACTCAGA